TACGCGAAACCAGCCGATAGTTGATCGTGGGCGCTCCGGGGGGCGTCATCAAGGCCCGGCAGTTCAGTCTCAGAGGGGGCGATGGGGACAGGTGGAATTTAGATGATATTGACAAAGAGGAGGGGTTGTCCTGGCAGCCGGGCCCAAGCGCCCCGTGACTTCATGTCAATGCCAAAGTGATCGTGCCGATGGCGGTGCCTGGCTGAGGTCCATCTGTAGAATCCCCGGCCGTCAAGCAGCTCGAGGAATCGCAGTGGAGACGTCGGCGTGCGTGGCCATCGGGCCTGCGCCAGGAAGTGCTGGGCGCCGAGCTGTAGCCGGAGGAGGTGCAGACCGCTGACTTCGCAGTGCAGAATCTCGATGGCGTGTCATCGAGTCGCGTGGAAGGACAAGACGACCCGAACGCCCAATAGAGAGTAGCAGCAGCCAGGATGAGGGTGGGGCCCAGCAGTCTCCAGCAGGACAAGGATAGGAGGGGCCCGTTGGTAGATGGTTGGGCTATTAATGGCGAGATAGCCATTCGACAGCATCGCGAACCCAGAACCAAATTCACGCGCCTAGAGACATGGGGGTTAGAGCGCCGAAGCATTTGATCTATTAGAGGCGAGCGCGTGTAATTGATGAAGGGGACTGGCGGAATGCAGGACGTGACCGATGATTGGAAAGTTGCAGGTGACAGGGGCGTGCGAGTGCCTTGGGCGGGATGGACGAACCTCCGTTTTGTCCCCGGAGGTGCTGCCGATGCGCGAGTGGCCAGCGTTGCCCCTCCCCGACCCGCATCGGCAACAAAAAAGCAGAGGTCCTCGGAGGCGATGAGAGGATCGGAGAAGTTCGAGAGGAAGAAGATGAGGACGTGGAGACGCAGCAAGGATGTCCGGGGGGCCGGAGGTGGCGAGGCGCCCGACGACGAGAACACATAATCATGAGCACCTGATCGGGGAAGTGAATAACAAGACAACGTGAGCGCTGAGGAGGTACGCAACAGGTTGAACACCATGGGCCTTGATGCCGATGTGGTAGAGTGGTTGCTCGGCGCCAACTTGGGCGCGATCCAGCGTGTGAATGGAATCGGGGGGGCAGTGGGGCAATGCGGTAGGGGTCGCCCATGATGAGCAGGCGCGCGTCGCTGCGGCTCACTCGCCGATCCGGGCTACAGGCGTGGCAGACTAGAACGAGATTCTCGCCGGGTCTAGCCGTGGACCCATGGGGTTTTAATTGCGAGGCGAAGCGAGCAAAAGCAAAGGGAACAATCGAGAGCAACGCAGCCTTGCAGCAACTCGTGAGCTCAGTGTGCGCAGCATTCAGCAGGCTATAGGCGTATGATGCAAAAAACTCGGGCTGGGCAAATCTGGGGAATTCTTCATTGCGGGTCTCAACGCTTCAATTTCTCATGTGGACTGAGAGAGTCAGAGACATACTGGGTCGCGGTTTCTGTTCGAGCATCCTTCGCCCCTTCGTGGGCCCCAGGTTGGGCCGCGCCGCCAGTGCGCGACGTCTTAGTGCGCGACGGCGTGCGTGCGTTTGATGAGGACTTGTGCTGTTCTGACATGAAGCAGGTAGTAAAAGGGGCAGAGGGTTCATGAAGAAGCCCATGCGGTTCATGGAGAGTAGCCCCTGCATCGGCAGATCCCCCAGCGCGATGCGTCGAGGCCAGCGCTGGCATGTCGAGTTGAAGTTAACTGGGGGGGGGGGGGGGGGCAGGGCGAGGGGATCAGAGGTATATCCGGTCTCGCTTTGTCGAGCTATACTTGAGGGTCTAGTTGGTCAGGTGGCGGCCGACGACTGGTCGGGGCGCTCCTGCAGGATTCGCGCTCCTGCGGGTACTGTGAATCATCTAGATGGGGGAGTAGAAATGGATGAGATCGGTGCGATCCAAACGGGCATGTTAACAGGGCCGCGTTGACCTGGGCCGGGGAAGATTGCGGCGCATCGCGGCTCATGATTCTGGGGCATTCAGGGCGCGGGGCGCTGGCCTCGGCAGAATTGCTCGCGACTTGGGCGCCGGCCACGTGCTCGAGGACAAGCGGGGTTTGTGAAATTGAAGGGAAGGTGTGGGTCAGATAATGTCGCGGAGGGGTGTGCACGTTCGCAGGCTGATATATTCGCCCGCCGAGTGCCCTCGGGCGCCCGGCCTCGCCAGTGGATCTGCGGGGCGCGCCGAGGCCGAGGGTGGTTGAAGTCCTGGGGGCGCGCGAGGCGCGTGGGCGCGTTGAAGGAGTGCAACCAGTTTCCAGAGGTGGCGTGCGCAGTTCGTCGCAATTATGGAAAGGCACAGGCGTGGGGTGATGTGTCTAGGTGCGATCTGAATCCACTGCTCGCGTTAAATGTTCGGGGGGGGGGGGGGGGGGGGGGGGGGGGGGGGGGGACGGGGGGTTCGCGGGGAAGTCAAAGAGGAGGTATGCTGGGCGGTCGCCGGCACATGGCCCTCGCTGGCGCGAGGTGAATGGACGTTGGCGAGGGCCACCGAGCGCGTTCCATTATTCGCAAAGTGCCTACTCGCAAACGTCAGAAAAAATGTGTCCTTCGATGGGAACTGTCGTAGATCCCCTGCGGCGGATCCAGGCCATTTGCGAGTAGTTACTTTGCGTGTAGTGGAACGCGCTCGTCTAGAGGGGTGCGAGACCGACCCTGAATGTCGATCTTGGCTTGTGGCTCAACTAGCTAAGTACAGATCCAAAGAGAAGACGTCCTTGCAGCCGCGCCCGCACTGGAGGGCCCGCAACTGCTGTTCTCTATGGCTGTTACCGAACGGATAGGGCGTCGTCGTGGGGGGCGCCATGAGGTCTAATATTGGCGTTGATGCACGTTGGATGGGCATGCTTTGGCGCCGAGGCCGAGAAGGACATTTTGATCCGGTTGCCCGAGAGCGATCGCGGGGCTGGCACGTATGGGTGCGTTGCTGAAGCCAGAGGACGGCGCCCGGGACGCAGCCGGGAATTGGGAAGATTGCTACATTGATTTTGCACGTGGCAGTGGTTGTGACAGCGGGGGGGGGGCATCGCCACTTGTGTTTAGACGTGCGGCAGGGCGGACATGGCTACTTGTACATGGGGAGATTCTACTTCGCTGGGTAATTCCATCGACCATGACTGGTTCCCAGGAGAATTTCAAGGGAACGTGGGCTTTGGATTCGGAGGCGGCGCGGGGGCAGCCGCGCAAATCCAGTCGATCAGGGTTCTCAATCGGAAAGGAAGCTGGCTGGGTTATGGTTTGAGGGGGACCAGAGGTAGGCTGAGGCAGTTGTGGGAGAAATTTGGCCCGAAACTATGCGTAGTGAAGTGTGAGATGCCAGTGAAAAGCAGTCTACCGAAGAGGAGGGCGAGGGCCCCCTACCGAAGCACGAAGTCAATAAATGCCAAGCTCTGGTGGCTCGAGCCAACGATCTTGCGCGGGATCTTTGGCGCTCTGTCAGACCCGACCCGTAGGGCATATGGAAGCCTCGTGAAGATGGGCAGATACTTCAAGAACCATTACCCAAGTGCGACCCTACCTGGGAGTTGGAGCAGTTAGGAAAGCAACGTCTACATCTACACCGGCAGCTACATTTACATCTACACCTGCATCTGCATCTACATAACATCAACAGCGAGACTCACACCTACATCTACATCTACACCTACATCTGCACCTATATGCTAAGCTATGCTAAACTAAGCTAAGCTAAGCTAAACTAAGATGAGATAAGCAAAGCTAAACTAAAGCTAAGCTAAGCTAGGCTAGGCAAGCTAAGCTGAGATAAGCTAAGCTAAGCTAAGCTAAGCTTAGCTGAGCTACGCTAAGCTGGGTGAACCCAGGGGGCGCAACTGGGGGAACCGCGGGGCGGATCCTGGGGGAACCGCCCGGGGCGTGGAACACTGCCCGGCCCTTTAAGCCAACACGGTAAGAACCCTTCTAGGCAGAGCCTGGGTAGGGAACAACGGGTGTGGGTGTTTCAGCGTTAGTATCAAGAATGCCTTAAGAAGTTGTCTGTGTGGATAGATGCCGACTATGCGGGGTGTGAGAAACATGTTATTCAACGAGTGGAGGAACAGTGATGGGTGATCACATTTGATGCAGTGCTGAAGTCCAACTCAGAGCGTCGTCGCATTATCTTCGGGAGATGCAGGGCTTTGCGGAATGATGGAAGGTGGGCCAACAGCGTGAGGATTACGATCAATTCTCGAATGTTTCGGTGCTGATTGCGGTATTGCAGCATCGTGTTGATGAGTCGTACTAGTGTGGCCGTTGCCATTGTGAGCTGGCGAGGATTAGGACAACTGGTTTCAGGAGAAGTTGCGACGAGGATACATAAAAATGTTCAAAGTAGGAACTCATGAGACTCTTACATACGCGTCGACCAACAATGTTAGTAGTGACGATATGGCTAGGCGTATGCGAGGCACCGATCAACGCAGTGTTAGAGGGAGGCACGAAGTAATGCCCGCTACGGAGTGTTCGCTTAATCCATCATCCGGTTGTCCTCGTGTGCCGCTTTGGCGGGGGGTTGAACTCAGTCGCCGCAGGGCGTTTTCTAGATTTTGTTGTAATCGTCGTAGTTATCTCTCCTTTTTTTTTTACCATCCCACGTGCCTATCCCATTCAGTTAGCTCGTATCCAGTTCGGTATATATGAGTTCGTCACCCGTCGCTTCATGTGGTCACCATTGGCCGGGTGTGTGTGTGTGTGTTTTAAACATGGCTGTGCGACTGGGTGAGGAAGATTGCCACGCGCTCCGTTGTCAAGCGTTAGCGTTGCCGCTGTCCTAACACAGCCGAGCCACCAATCACGAAACATTGCCGCCGACATTTCGCACAAGTGCTATTCGCCTTTCCGTGAAAAAAACTCCTGCCAGGCTTGCAGGAAGACGATGATGATGATGGTGATGAGAATGATTATGCTGCGGATGATGCTGCTGATGATGGTGATGCTGATGGTAATGGTGATGGTAATGATGATGACGATTCAGATGAAACTGATGATGCTGATGATGGTGATGAGGATGATGATGTGGGGGAGCGAAGTCGTTCTTTCGTCAAGCATCGTCAGCTCTGAGGGATGGGTCCGCTTCGCCCTGCGCTTGACGGACGACCGGGGGCGCCTCGCCGGAGCGCCCCGCCTGCGCAGCGGCAGCACCGGGACCGCGGGGCAGCGGTGCAAGGGGGCTTTGCCGGCATCTGCCGGCGTGGGCCTCCGAGGCGCGCGCTCTCAAAAACAATTCGGGCCCGCGAGGGGGGGGAGGAGAGAGAGGACAAAGGCAGAGGAGAAAGGCGAGGAACAGGATGATGATGATGAGGAGGAGGAGGAGGAGGAGGAGGAGGAAGAGGAAGGGGAGGAGGAGGAGGAGGAGGAGGGGAAGGGGGTGGAAGAGGAAGAGAAAACATACTAAACATAATAATAAAAACGAATCATAAGGAGAATAATAATAATAATGACACCAATGATAATAGTAATGATGGAAATAATTTAATAGCCATGCCAATAAGAATAATTAAGAGTACTAGTAATAACAATAACGATACCAATAATAGTATTAACGATCATAATATCGAGACTACTTGTAGTAAGAACATGAATAATAATAATAATCACAATGAACGTGATAATAGCAAGGGCAATAATGAGACAAACAATAAGAACAATGATATTAATATTTATGAGCATGATATTAACAGTGATAACAATGCTAATCATCATAGTAATAAAATATGATATTAATATCACGATGAAAAAATACGAATAAGCCTAGTCGTAATAATAAAAATAACCAGAATAAGGATGAACATTCTCATAGTACGAATATACTTAGCATACATAATACGAGCAACAATAAAGACTATTACGAAACAGGCGAATCAGAATCACACCAGCACGAATATTATTTTGAAGAATAGAACCACAACACATAATGACAATACTAAGCATACGACGGGTGAACATTGTAATAACAGAGGGAGTAAGCATACTGATAACATAAGTGATAAACATACTTATGAATCATAATAAGACAAAATAAGTGGCAGTATTCAGTGATGAAAATGAAAATAAGAATAATACCGATGATACTAATAATAGTGATAATGATAATGATAATAAAACATGATGATGATGATGATACTACTACTACTACTACTACTACTACTACTACTACTACTACTACTACTACTACTACTACTAATCATAGTACTAATAATAGTAATTATACTAATTATAGTAATAGTAATGTTAACAATAATTTTAATAGTACTATTCATACTACGAGTATAATCAATAATACTAGTATTACAACTATCAGTAAGAGTAATAATGCTATTCGTATGAAGAGAGGAGGGGGAGGAGGAGGAAGAGGAGGAGGAGGAGGAGGAGGAGGAAAAAGAGGAGGAAGAGGAGGAGGAGGAGGAGGAACAGGAACAACAGGATGATGATGATGATGATGATGATGATGATGATGATGATGATGATGATGATGATGATGATGATGATGATGATGATGATGATGATGATGATGATGATGATGATGAGGAGGAGGAGGAGGAGGAGGAGGAGGAGGAGGAGGAGGAGGAGGAGGAGGAGGAGGAGGAGGAGGAGGAGGAGGAGGAGGAGGAGAGAGGAGGAGGAGGAGGAGGGAGAGGAGGAGGAGGAGGAGGAGGAGGAGGAGGAGGAGGAGGAGGAGGAGGAGGGAGGAGGAGGAGGAGGAGGAGGAGGAGGAGGAGGAGGAGGAGGAGGAGAGGAGGAGGAGGAGGAGGCGGAGGAGGAGGAGGAGGAGGTTGAGGGAGGAGGAGGAGGAGGAGGAGGAGGAGGAGGAGGGGGGAGGAAGAGGCGAGGAGGAGGAGGAGGAGGAGGAGGGGAGGAGGAGGAGGAGGAGGAGGAGCAGGAGCAGGAGCAGGAATGGAATGGATTGGAATAGACCCTTCGCGATGCGAAACAACAACACACGCCCCCCCCCGAGCTTGTCGAAGAAGGCGACCAACAGGAAGGAGACGCACTTCAACCCATACACGGCCGGCAGAAGCCCATGGAACGCCGAGATTATACCACGAATGGGCCTTTCGGGACAGTGACAACGCCCACGGTGCAGAAAGTCACAAAGCATGGCAGAGGTTAAGCTGAGATGAATTCGGCTCGAAACGGCCCACTACAGGGTGAGAAAACCACTGGACATCGGGCAACCCAGACGGATCGCCTCCTCCACAGACAGCTTCGCCAACAGCCAATACAAAGGGACCACAACACAGCAAGCCAACGACTGTATGTTCACCCCTTCGATACAACCAAACGAAATACGGGGGAAGTTGGAATACTGAGATAAAACTCCCAGAACCACATTCCAGCAAAAACGCTGCCGCCCGAGTGGGACTTCGATGGGCTCGGAGCCCCCGTGCCCCTCGGCTGCCGCCCGAGTGGGACTCAGATAGGCTTGGAACTCCCGTGCCCCACGGCGCGGACGGGATGCCGAGGTGATCTCTGGAAAGTGCACAAACGGAAATACAACATTGCGATAATTCGAATTCGCCCAGTCTTGCCATCCCACACCGACAACAACTGTGTTGAGAACGGTTCTGTGGTGGGAGCCCCCCCAGCGCCACGAGAAGGCAAAGGGCTGGGCGCTCCATGGCTAGCTCGAGCCCAACGGTACGATGCCTTGAGCCAGCTTGAGCCAATGCTACGGAGGAGGAGGAGGAGGACGAGGAGGAGGAGGAGGAGGGGAGGAGAGAAGGAGGATCATGTTCTCTATGCCCAGGGACCGACGTGCGGTGAAAACAGATCCTGGGGAGAGGATCGGAGCCTTTCGGAGGCCCCGTACTGAAGCGCTCAGGTCGTCGCGTGGCTGGGAAGGCAGATGGGGCGGGCCTTCCTAGAAGGCTCAGAAGGCCTCCAGCCTCCCGAGAAGCTAGCTGAGCCTTCTCTGAAGCCAACTCAGAGGGCCAGGGGAGCTTCCGAGAAACCCGCAGGCCTCTGAGAAGGCCTGCTCCCTCTTCTTTCCCCCCTCGTTGCGGCGCCGATACTTGGAGCACCCTAAGCTTCGGAGGGGTGCCCTTGCGGTCCTTGTGCGCGGCCTGTCCACCTTGGAGTCTTCCTGGCTCTGGGCATCTCCGCGGGGCAGCTGAACCCGCGTTATCATGGCCACGTTTCGACTGTACCCCGAGCCGTTCAATGAGGGTTTTGGGGGGGGCGCGAGGGATGGCGCTGCCCTTCGCGAGGCGTGGGTGGGCTGGATCGCGCTAGGTGGTGATTTTGGTGCGTGTGTGTGTGTGTGTGTGTTTTTGCTGGTCGCCGCTGGCCCGGCTGCTCGCGTAGGCCACGCGTGACCTCGGCACCCGCTGCCCCCTGGCGCTGCCTGCACACCTTCTTTACCAGCCTCTGCTGCGCGCTGCCCCCCCGCACGGCCTGCCGACTGGCGGCTCGCCCTGCCGGCTTCTTCCCCCCCCCCCCGGCCGCCGCCCCGCTGCTGCTGGCCCACCCTCCGGCGCCGCCCCGGCTCCGCGCCTGGCCCTGCCCTGAGCGGGCCCGGCTTCCGCCTCCCTCCGGCCTCCGCCGGGCGCCGCCTCTGGGGGGCGTCTGGCCCCCTGTCCTCTTTCGGAAATTGGAGCAGATGCATTACCAGTGGCGGGCGCTCTTTCGAGGTTTGGGGACGACGTCGGGGTGGTGTGGTGTGTACCTTTTCCCCGTTTCCCCAGGGAAACGACGGAAAATGTATACACAAGGACCCCATATGCACCAGGATCCGCTTTCTGGTGAGAGCTTCAGCGCAGGGCCGGAAAATGCATCGGTGTATTAGAGTTCGGTTCCCTACTCTTGCCTCCTCGTGCATCGTGGCTTATATTCGTGTTGCGTATGCCCTGCGGACGCCCTATGCGCCAGCGCAGTCCCTCTGCCCAGCCGCCGACGAAAGAAAAAAGTGTGTGCGTGGGCTGATCGAACCACTGCGCTCTCAACCGATTGCTTGAGCCTATAGACGGTCAAGACGCTGAAAGAGGGGGTCACTTCGGGCTCAGGAGCGTCTCTGGTCTACGGGCCGTTCCTCAGATCCATGTTGAGGGACCGACTCGGGGCCAGAGCAGCCCCCTTCGTTCCTCATTTGGCGTTGGTCGTGCCGTGCCGTCAGGGCCAATCTGCTGATCTCGGTCCCAGACTTCCACCCAGGCTAGACGTGTGAGACGTCGAATTGGAGTCCCCGCTCGAATGGGATCCTTCCTGGGCTCCGACAACTCGCCCCCATACCTAGAGTGTAGCGCCCTCATCGCCTTGCCCATTCCCCCGTCCATTTCCCGTTTGAACGTGCGCTTTTTTCTGTCATCGTTGAGCTCCGGAGTAGATGATCTTGCGACCTATCGTGGAGGAGCTTGGAGGCCCCAAGTCGAGCTGACCCTGTGGCCCTCCAGGCACCAGGAATCCAGCGTTGCTCGCCTCGCGCGCTTTTCTCTTGCCTGTTTGCGCGGTCGATCCCGAACCCGTCAACTCGTTTCCTCGGCCTTCCCCCCCCCCCTTCTTCGTCCCCCTCTCCCTCTTCCCCCTCTCTTCCCTCTCCTCCTCCTCCTCCTCCTCCTCCTCCTCCTCCTCCTCCTCCTCCTCCTCCTCCTCCCCTTCCTCGTCGCCGTATCCCTCTTCTCCCTCGGCTTCCTTCACCGCCTGGGAGCCAGATGCGGTTGTCGGTGGCCTGCTCCCCCTCCCTCCTCCCTTCCTCCGCCCATCAGTCCGATAGCAATCGGGCACGTGTCATGGCGCCAACATCGCAGAGCAGATTTCTTTCGGAAAACGATAGGGTGGGTCCGGGGTGTCGTGGAGAATTTCGTTCCGGATTTCGAGGTGAATTTCGTGCGGATGTTTGTTGGCCAGGGAGGAAGGCCCAAAAGAATCCACGCGAAATTCACTTCGTTTTTCGCTCGCCGCTTCGGGCAAACTGCACGCAGAAATCCACGCAGAGATCCGCTGCAGCACGTCTCCAAGGCCGGTGCAATGACACCTGTGAGTCATAGATTTGCAGGCCGACGCTTTCGCATCGACTTCATGGTCGGAGATGTGTGGGAACGGCTGGTCGCTTTGGAGAGTCTCGCAAGGGAGGACGCTGCGTCAGTTCTTCGGAGGGCTCCAAGAGGCTTCGAAGACAACCCGAGAGGCCACAAGGTCCTCCCAGGACGCCCTCGGGCCATTTGGGTGGGCCAGAGGCCCCGAAGGCAACCCAAGAGGCCGTAAGGTCCTTCCGTCGCCA